AGCAGCTTTATTCATGATAGCCCCAAACTGGAAAAAGCCCAGATGCCCTTCAACAGGTGAATGGTTAAACAGATCGGTACATCTGTACCACGGAATACTATTTAGCAACAAAAATAGAAGGAACTATTGATGCACATAACTTGGATGCATCTCAGTGACTTGAGTGAAAAAAAAGCTAGTTTCAGAGGGTTCCGTACTGTATGGTTCATTTATATAACATTTTTGAAATGACAGAATTTTAGAAATGGAGACCAGCTTAGTGGTTGCCAGGAGTTAGGCATGCAGTGGGCGGTGTTTGATGAGCATGATTATAAAAGGGTAAGGAGGGATCTTTATGGTGATGGAACTTAACCATGTTGATGGAAACACAAACCTACGTGGAGTAAAATTGTATAGAACTAAATACACACGTGAGTAGAAGTAAACTGGGGAGATCTGAATAAGGTGTGTGGTTGTATCAGTGTTTCTCTCCTGATTGTCATTTTGCACATAGTTTTGTAAAATGTTACTTTTGGGTGAAACAGGGTGAAAGTTACATGGAATTTCTGTATTTCCTGTAACTACATGTGAACCAGCAGTTATCGCAATAAACTTTTAATTGAAAAAATCAGGCCAGGAGCAGTGACTCACACCTGTAATCCCAGCACGTTGGGAGGATCACCTGAGGTCAGGAGTTTGAGACCAGCCTGGCCAACATGGTGAAACCCCGTCTCTACGAAAAATATGAAAAATTAGCCAGGTGTGGTGGTGTGTGCCTGTAAGCCCAGCTACTCGGGAGGCTAAGGCAGGAGAATCCCTTGAACCTGGAAGGCAGAGGTTGCAGTGAGCTGAGATCATACCACCATGCTCCAGCCTGGGTTGACGGAGTAAGACTGCCTAAAAAAAAAAAAAAAAAAAAAAAAAAAAAAAAAAAAAAAAAAATCAGGACATTAAGTGAAAAAAGCCAGTCACAAAAGGACAAATACTGCATGATTTCACTTCTCTGAGGTACCTAGAGTAGTCAAAGTCATGGAGAGGAAGTAGAACAGTGGTTGCCAGGGGCTGTGGGGAAGGGGATGGGAGTATTGTTGAATGAGTACAGAGTTTGCGAAGATGAGAAAGATTGAAGATGGTTGGTGGGGTGGTTGCACCACAGTGTGAATGTACTTAAAGATGCTGAACTGAACACTTAAAAATGGTTAAAATGGCAAATTTCATATTTTACCACAAAAAAAAAAATCAGGAATCAAAATGGAATACGTATCTCAGCTATGTAAGTATTGCTATTATCTATTACTATTCAACAAAATCACCCCCAAACAGTGACTTCAGAACCGTGATTTTTTTTTTTTTTTTTTTTTTTTTTTGAGACAATATTGTTCTGTCACCCAGGCTGGAGTACAGTGACGTGATCTCGGCTTACTGCAATCTTTGCATCCCAGGTTCAAGCAACTCTCCTGCCTCAGCCTCCTGAGTAGCTGGGATTATGGGTGCCCACCACCATGCCCAGCTAATTTTTATATTTTTAGTAGAGACGGGGTTTTGCCATGTTGGCCAGGCTGGTCTTGAACTCCTGACCTCAGGTGATCTGCCTGCCTCGGCCTCCCAAACTGTTGGGATTACAGGCGTGAGCCACCACCCAGCCCAAACAATGATGTATTTTGCTGAGGAATTTAGGGGTTGACTACCTTAGTGAGGCAGTTCTCACTGGGCGAAAGTGTCCCACGAGAAATGGCAAAAGTTGTGTGCCATTTTCTAACCAGCATATGTTCATCAAGCAATCACCATCAAGCAATCACCATGGCCTGCCCAGACCAGAGGGAGGGGCATGGACTCCACTCTTGGTGAAGGGATTATCAGAGAATTTTCGGATGTGTTTTGAAACCACCACAAGTAGCCCCCAGAAGGGGAAAAATGACAAAAAAGTGAACAGAAGTGTACTCTGTATTGGAACAGTTTTTATTCTCATCTATATTGTAGCATGCTTGCCAAGTTTTCTATAATGAGAATGTATTTTTACAATAAGAAAGGTAGTATTTTATTTATAAGAGGGTGCTGTTAGTGGTATATCAGCAGAGTCTCACTGAGTTGTGGTGTTCCATCTATTTCTGAAGAGGTGGTCCAGGATTCGCTGGGGTCCTGACAGAGCAAAGGTAACCCATCTGTTCAGGGATGTCACTGGCAACTTTGCACCAGGTCGAGTTTGCCTCAAATTACATACTAACTTTTTTTTGTTTCTACCTCCCAGTAGTCTGTCTAGAAATCCTCATTATATTCCAGATGTTATATCCAATCTCCTGGCCCTAGCAGTTGTCCTTGGCATTGCAGTGAAGAGGTTGAGATCCAAGCAGGGACGCACATACATATGCATATATATGGATATAGTCTTGTGGGTCTGACTTGGAGGATCTAAGTAAAAATGGGAATGTTGAGGAATAGAGCAAACAGGACCCGAAAGGATGTCTTGAATGGAGCGTTAATAATAGTAGTACCAGCCGAGGCAGGTGGATCATGAGGTCAAGAGATCGAGACCATCCTGGCCAACATGGTGAAACCCCGTCTCTACTGAAAATACAAAAAAAAATTAGCTGGGCGTGGTGGCGCACGCCTGTAGTCCCAGTTACACGGGAGGCTGAGGCAGGAGAATTGCTTGAACCCGGGAGGCGGAGCTTGCAGTGAGCCAAGATCGTGCCACAGTACTACAGCCTGGTGACAGAGTGAGACTCTGTCTCAAAAAATAATAATAATAGTAGTACCTTTCAATCACAAATCAAAGGAGAGACAACTGGACAGGTGACGCTTTGTGCTACAGATGGGAACCGAGAGTGGGAAGTGGTGTTCTTTTGTTGGGCACCTCCCGAACGCTGACGCTTTAGTCCATTTTCTTTTTGTTTTGTTGGACACACTGAATTCTTGGTTGATTGGTTTAGGTGTCTTAACCTGTCCACCGAAGTTCACTCCGTCTATGTTAAGATGTGTGAGATTTCACACCTACAATATAGGGTGTGAAAGCTAGAAATATATTTAGGAAAATTGAGGCCCACAGAAAGTTACAGTTAGGACTGGAATTCAGGTTTCCTGGTTCTTTAATTTTGATTCCTCTCTTTGCCTCTGCTTGTTCCTGTTTTTGTTTAAGGTAGAACAAAGTGTTAAGGACATGTTTAACATGAGGCAAAAAGATTGACTGGAATGACAGTATCACACAATGGCTTGTGGCGTAGCCCCAGCTACGTGGGAGACTGAGGCTGGAGGATTGCTTAAGCCCAGGAGTTCAAACCCAGCCTGGGCAATGTAGCGACACCCCATCCCTAATTACAAAAAAAAAAAAAAGTATGTTGTGGAGTGGGAAATGGGAAATAAGTGATCTGACAGCAGCCGTATGAGGAGCAGAGGGTAACACACTTCGCTGGCATTACATTTTGCAGTAGTCTGGGACAGCTAAGGGTGTATACACTATCCATATGGAAGAAACTAAAGCAATTATGTGTGTGCCAGAGGCCGCCTTCTAATGATTGAGAAGTCCTATAGATTGGAGGGTGCAAGCATCCTAGAGCTGACGATTCCAAACTGTAGAACTAGATTTTCCTTTTTATAAGATAAATCCAGTATTTTCCTAACTGATGGAATAGATCAAAGCCAGTTATCCCGTGTTCATTCTTTTAACAAATAGTTGAGATTCTGCGCCATCCCCGTTGCTATTCTAAGCACTAGAGATCTAGCAATGAACAAGATAAGCTCCTTGCTTTTTAGGAGCTGATATTCTAGTGGAGGTAGACAAATGGACATGGTAAATAAGTAAGCCAATAAATTAATACGATAGTTTCAGAAAATAAGCAATAAGTAAACAAGTAGGAATGGCATGAAGAGACTTCCAGGGGAGATGAATGTGTTCATTATCTTGATTCTGATAATGGTTTCACTGGTATACATGTGCGAAAGTGAAAGATATTATTTTATTTTATTTTATTACTTTTTGAGACAGGATCTCACTCTGCCACCCAGGCTGGAGTACAGTGGCATGATCTTGGCTCACTGCAGTCTCAATCTCCCCGGCTCAAGCAATCCTTCTACCTCAGCCTCCTGTATAGCTGGGACTACAGACATTCGCCACCATGCCCAGCTATTTTTTTTTTTTTTTTTTTTTTTTTTTGAGGCAGAGTCTTGCTTTGTTGCCCAGGCTGAAGAGCAGTGGTGTGATCTCAGCTCACCTGCAGCCTCTACAACCTGCTGGGCTCACGCGATCCTCTTACCTCAGCCCATGAGTAGCTGAGACTACAGGCGTTGCACCACCACAGCCAGCTAATTTTTGTATTTTTTGTAGAGATCGGGTCTCACTATGTTGCCCAGGCTGGTCTTGAACTCCTGAGCTCAAGAGATCCTCCTGCTTCAGCCTCCCAAACCGCTGGAATTACAGGCATGCACCACCGCACCCAGCCCTGGCTAATTTTTTCGAAATACTTTTGGTAGAGAATAGGTCTCATTATGTTGCTCAAGCGGATGTGCATTTAAAATGTGTGCAATTCATGTGTCAATTATACCTCAATAAACTCTTAAAAAAAAAAATACAGTGGGCAGTAAGTAAAGCTAATTCAGGTTGTTTGGTTAGAGAAGACCTCCTGAGAAGGCTACGTTTGGGCTGACTCCCGAGGAGGAGCCAGCCGTGCCAAGATCTGAGGCACAGCGGACTAACGCTGTTTGAGGATGGCAGGAAAGCCAGCGTTGTCCAAAGCATAATGAGCTGGGAGACTAGGACCGCGTGGGGCCCATGGTGAAGACAGCAGTGAGGCCAAGTTCCCAGACCACCCAGCTGGCGGCTCTCTTTCATTTCTCTTAAGAATCAGGGCAGGGACCAGAGGCAAAAAAGAGCCACCCAGCATCATCGTGTGCAGCTTAACGAGAGGGCTTCTCTTTTTCAGTTTGTCATTCCTGCCAGGGAGCAATGTGAAGTGTACCGAGAATGCGGTATTGATAGAACGGGACCAGTTCAACTTCTGTGTTCTTTATGTTCTCTCCCACTGCAGCTCTTCCTTCCCTCCATGAGAAAGAAGCCAGCTCTGTCTGACGGCAGCAATCCCGAAGGCGATCTCCTTCAGGAACACTGGCTGGTTGAGGACATGTTCATTTTTGAGAACGTGGGCTTCACCAAGGACGTGGGCAACATCAAGTTTCTGGTCTGCGCAGACTGTGAAATTGGACCAATTGGCTGGCATTGCCTAGATGACAAGAACAGTTTCTATGTGGCCTTGGAACGAGTTTCCCATGAGTAACTGAGGGGAGGGGTACTCAGCTCCACCCCCAAAGATAAACTTGTTCCCCACAAGAACTGGCATTTAATGTGGTGTAACTGTTCCGCTGCCTTCTTCTCTATGCTAATATAAACACCGAGTACCAGCATGTCCACTTGAACATGCAGAGGGTTCACCCTGCTTCCTAAAGCCTCACGTACATTCCTCCTGCTTAGTTCACTTGCATCACATTTCCTAAGCTCCCTTTTCTCCCCCAGTTTTGGAACACTGCGCTTCCACAAATCTTGTCTTTTCCCTGGCATTCTGCCTAGGCTCTGTTTTACCCAGGGGCTCCCTCTTTTTCTTGCTCTAAAAGAGAAGTGTTCAACCTTTTGGCAGTGATGACACATGGCAAAAGATGCTTATGTGCTAATAGTTGAAAGTCTGCCTTTTTCTCATTCAAGAAAGCATACAAACATCTGAAAGTGGCTTTGTTGTATGGCTACACTTGTGATCTACAGTAACGTACCCTTTCTAAAAGTAAAGCATTTACAAAACTCAGTATTTAAACCACCAACCAGAAACATTACTTTGGACACAGCTCTAATACCATGTTTGAGCGCCTCTGCTCTAGGTTGAGAATGACATTTTATTGTGAAGATGGGTGTGGTCCCTCTAGCCTTGAAATCTTGTGGTTTCTTTTTATATTAGCTCCTCACTGCTGTAGCCTAGAAGGTGAAAAGCAAATCTTTAACCCCATCTAGCAGTCACTCAAGGAAGACCCAGCCCTGGCTGTTTACCCAGGCGCTCTCAGGATCAGAGTGGAGGGTGTAGGATATGAGGGTTAGGCCTTTGCCAAATTATACACAAGTTTATAATTTGCCCCATCTGGACAGGTAACTTTCCTTTTTTCTTTCTTTCTTTTTTTTTTTTTTTGAGACAGTTTTGTTCTTGTTGCTCAGGCTGGAGTACAGTGGCGCCATCTTGACCCACCGCAACCTCTGCCTCCCAGGTTCAAGCGATTCTCCTGCCTTGGCCTCCTGAGTAGCTGGGATCACAGGCATGCGCTACCACGCCCGGCTAATTTTGTCCTTTTAGTAGAGACAGGGTTTCTCCATGTTGGTCAGGCTGGTCTCGAACCCCCAGCCTCAGGTGATCTGCTTGACTTGGCCTCCCAAAGTGCTGGGATTACAGGTGCAAGCCACCACAACCGGCCTGAACAGGTAACTTTCTTCCTTTGTTCGTAGGCAAGACTTCTTTAATGTATAGTATCATCATTTACTAAACATACTGGGCATGGTCGTCATGGAGTTTTGGTCCAACTGGAATCTCTACCAACCCAGGATACAAACTTCCATTCAGATGCTTCTATTTCCATAGCTCTGAGGTTGCTCTAACAGTTTGATATTAGCAGACTTGTTTAAGCCTTCAACTTGATTTCCAATTATTCCATCATTTCTATTCTGAAATGACTCACCGTCATAGAAGGAAGTTTATTATATAACCAAGGTTTCAGGTATCCTTCTGTCACCTCTGCAGTTCAGAAGGCCTAAAATTGAAATAAGTACTTAATAGAAACTTACTATCTGAAGTCCCTTCCATTGTTTTCTAGTAGCTTCCTCCTTCCTTCACCCCCAAACTTTCTAAGGGCTTCCTCACTGAAGTGCAGGCTGGCCTTGGGCGCAGTTTTGCAACAACCTACTCCCCTGGAAAGGTGGCTTCCTTCTGCAGTCAGCCTGAATGAGCTTCAGTAAGCAATTGAGAGAACTGTGTTTTTCCGACAAATGATCACGTCCATAGTTATGGCATCTGCAGAAGAACAGAATTACCCACTGAAGTCAGGAGCAAAACCAAGTAGACACCTCTAGGGACACATGGCCCCTCACGTCACAAACCAGAACCTAAGCTAAGCATTTTTTTAAAATTAGGCTTTAACTGTTTGTTCTTTTTTAAATCATAGAATACATATTCATTGCAGATAAATTCAAAAATGTATAAATATTTTTAAATTGCTAATACTCCCACCATTCAGAGACTGCCAATGGTAATGTGGTGTATATCCTCTTCAATGTGTATGTATACATTATATACATGTGCAGTTACAGATAGGACATCATACTGTCCTCTTAAAACTTGCATGTAGGCCAGGCATGGTGGCTCATGCCTGTAACCTCAGCACTTTGGGAGGCCAAGGCAGGAGGATTGCTTGAGCCCAGGTGTTCAAAACCAGCCTGGGCAACATAGTGAGACTCTGTATCTACAAAAATAAAAGTTTGCCAGACATGGTGGCACATGTCTGTGATCCCACAGGCTTGGGAGACTTGAGGTCGGAGGATTGCTTGAGCTTAGGAGGTCGAGGCTACAGCGAGTCACGTTGGCATCACTGCACTCCAGCCTGGGCGTCAGAGCAAGACCCTCTCTCAAAAGAAAAACAAAACTTTCGTTTGACAAAATAGGGTGAAAATCTTCCCACGAGAGTAGATATGTATCCAAGTCCACCATGATTAGTATTCCAATGTGTTGCTGTACTGTAACAGTCCACTATTATGTTGTCTTCATTTTCTTGTAAACTGATACGACATGCACCTTACATTCTGTATGCACCTTTTTAATTATTTACTTGGCATACATTATTAGACGGAATTGTAGGGTATACACATTTTCGAGGCTTTACTCTATTGACACATACTTCTCAAAAACTGTGCTAACATATCCTCCAGCAGCATAAAAGAGCACTCATTTCTCTGAACCCTCACGAACACTGGATTTTATTAAAAATATTTTGCTTCTTGTGCCTATAATCCCAGCACTTTGGAAGGCCGAGGCAGGAGGATCCCTTGAGCCCAGGAGTTTGAGACTAGCCTGGGCAACATAGTGAAACTCCATCTCTATAAAAGATGAACAAAATGACCTGGGCATGGTGGTGTGTACCTATAATCCCTGCTAATTGAGAGGCTTAGGTGGGAGGATCACTTGAGCCCTGGAGATGGAGGCTGCACTGAGCCTCAATCACACCACTGGCACTCCAGCCTGAGTGACAGAGTGAGAATCTGTCTCAAAAAAAAAAAGTGTGTGTGTGTGTGTGTGTGTATATATATATATATATATATGGCCACTTGAATAGGAAAACAGTATTTCATTGTTTTAATTTGCATTTATTTTATTGAAATTTTTATATACTTATCGGTCATTTCTATTTCCTTTTTTGAGAACTGCCAAATGTTGCCGTAGCAGCCAAAAATAACAAGTTGCTATTCTGCCTTTTCAGTTTGATTTGAAAGAAAGGCATTTAAGCAATGGAAATTAGATTTCTGCATGTCCTTGGAAAGAATATATAAATTGAAAAAACAGAGGAGAGCTGAAACCTGAACCTTAGGGTTTAGCTTAAGGTCAGCCACCTGTTGATCTAGTCCACTGTACAATGCAAATGTCATTTCATTTCCCTCACGCATAAAAGGCTCTCACTGCATACTTGTGAATCAGCTGCTATTTGCTGTGGGTAGACAGAGGGAACCTGTGCTTGCTGCTCCAAGTATAGAAACGTCCGTTTTCTGCCTGGAGAGCAGTTGATTTTGTGAAGGCCTAATTGTTTCCGCATGATTGTCTGTTGTTTTACAGAAACACAGGATTCAAGATGGACAATGGTGTTCTACATTTCACAAATTGTCACCATGTTGTACATGAGGCTACATGTCTAACTGACAATAACTAGTGGGGACTTCTGCTTCTGTTAATGGTGGATAGGTCCTTTGGACTGACCAGCTCACTGCTCAACTAGAAAGGCTGGACAAAATATTTTAAATATCTGTTTGAAGGTACTAAGAGAGCTGACATGGCTTTGAAGAATTATTAAACCAGGAGGGCAGAGAAGATGGGAATCTTGGGAGGTGGGCTTGGTGTGATGGACCACCGTTCTCCGGGGAGCATTTGCCAAACTTGGAAGTGATTCACGGGCTTAGCAGTAATTTTAGTAGCCTTTCAGAAGTAGGGGTCAGGGCGTGTTAAAGGGTGATGGACTTGGTGGTGTCCCTCACTTTTGGTTGAAGCCCTCAGTCTTTTGCATTCAGGAATAAGGGTGAGGCGGTGTGGGCAACAGGCTCTTGGGACTGCAGCCCAGCTTCCAATTAACGATTTCAATCCTTGAAATTAGATTAAGGTGATCCCAGTGTGGTAGTTTCCTCAAACTCTTTGGATAAGCAAACAAAAACTTCTGTAGAGGATATTATTATTATCCTAAACTTTAGATTATATCTACAAACAATTTTGCTAATACAATATCCTGAGTACAACACAATGTAACCGGGCACGTGAGACAAGATAGCAGGCCCATAGTGGCTAGAGATATTGGCGCTATCAAACAGACTAAAATAACTATTCACCATGTTCAAGGAGACACAGTTAGGGAATGTCAGCAGCTACGTGGACATGTTTTGTTTTGTTTTTGGGTTTTTTGTTGTTGTTATTTTGAGACAGTCTCACTCTGTTGCCCAGGCTGGAGTGCAGTGGCACAATCTTGGCTTACTGCAACCTCTGCCTCCCGGGTTCAAGTGATTCTCCTGCCTCAGCCTCCTGAGCAGCTGGGATTACAGGCGTGTACCACCATGCCTAGCTAATTTTTGTATTTTTAGTAAAGACAGGGTTTCACCATGTTGGCCAGGCTGGTCTTGAACTCCTGACCTTGTCTGCCCGCCTCGGCCTCCCAAAGTGCTGGGATTACAGGCGCCCGGCCAGACATTTTTTTTAAAATATAATTCTAGAATTTTTAAGAATCCAGTAATTAAAATTAAGAATACAGTGGAACCAGCATGGGCAACATAGTGAGACCTTGTCTCTACAAGAAAAAAAAAAAAAAAAAAGAAAATAGCCAGGTGCGGTGGCCCCTCCTGTAGTCCCAGCTACTTTCCAGGCTGAGGTGGGAGGATCACTTGAGTCCAGGAATTAGAAGTTTCAGTGAGCTATGATGATGACACTATACTCCAGCCTGGGCAACAGTGAGTCCCTATATCTAACTTTAAAATTCACTGGGACATTTTAACAGCAGCTTAGGCACAACTGAGGAGAAAACTAGAAAACTAGGAGCAAGGCATAACAGTAGATGTGTGAGACCACAACACAAAACCTTATGTAAGAGAAAGTAAAAGAAAACAAACTCACGGGGCCAGGGAACTACAGCCCACAGGCCAAATTCATTCAGCCAGTACCTGACCTACTGAGTCGCAGAAACTTTGAAGCTAAAAATGGTTTTTACTTTTTTTTTTTTTTTTTTTTGAGCCAGGTTCTTACTCTATTACCCAGGCTGGAGTGCAATGGCACGATCACAGCTCACTGCAGGCTTGACCTCCCAGGCTCATGTGATCCTCCCACCTTGGCCTCCTGAGTAGCTGGGAACACAGGCACGCATGTGTCACTGCGCCCAGCTAATTTGTATTTTTGGTAGACAGGGTTTTGCCATGTTGGCCAGGCTGGTCTCAGACTCCTGGACTCAAGTAATCCTCCTGCCTTGGACTCCCAAAGTGCTGGGATTACAGGTGTGAACCACTGTACCTGGCCAGCTTTTATGTTTT